GCACTCAATACATAGAGCGAACATCGAAAGCGTATGCGTTCTGAGTTCGGCGCTTCAAACCTTTCGAAACAAATTGAAAATATTTAAATTAACATTGGAAATTTTAAAAGAATTTGAGAATGCATTATCTGTAAATTATTCGTACAAAATAAAAAAAAGTTCTTGCAGCCTTCCTTTCAAACATTTGGAGTTGTAATAAGTTATCTCAACCTTAAAAATCATCATAAATTCATTAAATTTATCATTTTCATAAATTGCAGACAAAAGACTTTGATCAGCTGGTTTTGTTGCTGGAAAATTGCTGCTAGTAAAATTTTTCCAGCAAGAATTAGCAACTGATCATCCTGATCATTTGTGATAATTAATTTTAGGTTATCAAACGGACTACATGATAAAAAATATTGAAAGTCCGCAAAGCTCTTTAAGCGAAGCGCACATTAGCGCTGTTCTGACGTTGTGAATCCGTAGAACAAAAATTTACAACAATGCTACCTATTTTAAGGCGCCAGCGCACACAATTAATTGGTATCTACTCGTATTTTCCACACAAGATTATCCCGTAGCAAGAATTCTGAGAATTTAATAGGTGTGTACTCGTATTGAGCTGACAATTTAACAGCATTCGCTCTCAAAGAGACAAAATATCCACAGAAGTACGAGAACGCAAAATTTGCAAAAGCTTGTAACCTTCGAAACACCTGATCACTTCCACAGTTGCCACATGTGGTTTATTTGTCAATTTATTGGTACATCTCCCCCGATCTGGCATTTTTATAATTGAATACCTTTGGCTAAGGAAAACCTTAACAAATAAATTAATTATATTGGAATCAATAGGTTTTTTTTAAATTATTATTTATGATATCACATCATGAGGCATTCAAAAATAAGAGAATCTCCGCCAAACACCCATCCTTGATCCAAAAAAAAAGTGTATATATTCAAGCAGGTTCTGTAATTCACTTTCGATTGAATTTCAATAAAATCGCTTTGAATTCAAATTGACAGGGGTTGAAATTCGTTCGGAAGTGAATTGCTGAACCTGGCTGATAGCTACCAATGTACCTTTAAAATTATAAAATTTTCATTTCAACAATCAACCTACCAAAACTGACAAATTCGGCCAAAAAATTCTCAGATTGCTGCACTTTTTCAATTTTGGTATATTTGAAAGAAAATTATGGTACAAACGAAAAATGTGATACGGCAACCATAATTAGCACACACAAAAGTAAGCACACTGGAGATAAATATGAAATGAACCAAAAATAAACTCAACAAACTTTGTGCTTATTCCAACTTTTGACCCGTCTCTGTCCTGTGGAGCAGTTATTAGCTTATTATACAAGTCAATTGTTCAATTAACTGACGTTTAATAAAAAAAAGTGTGCGCTTCGCTTTATTCTTATTTTAAATTTAAATAGTTTCCTAGTATTTTGGAAATGTTGAGTCTATGAAATTTGTTATTATTATTATTATTTTTTGTATCTATAATAACTAGGGAAGACAAAAATATGAACAAAAAACTTAATTATATGATCATTAAAATGACTCCAAAATATATAAGATATGCTTGATATATGCCCCACAAATGTATACATATGTACATATAACGAAAATTTTGCCGATTTTTTGAATTGATTGAAAATTAACGCTCTACGTCACAAGACTTTAGCCTTGTTCGGTTACGCACTATCCAGTAAATCCAGTACTAATTTTACTGGTTTTTTACTGGATGTCGTTTTCGTCGGCAAAAACTTGCAAGAAACTAGCAAAAGTGGGGAAATTGAGAGAGCAAAAATGACAGCTGAAGTTGCAAGTTTTACTGGATAAATTTTTACTAGCAACTATTTGCTAGTAAGAAAAACAGCTGATGGCATGATGCTTAATGTAATTCACATTACCAAAATAATTGTTTGTGGTGCTTTTAGAGTTGCAATTGACAAAATAAACATATTTAAATATATAAGATGGAAAATACTAGTTTTCTAAGAAAATTGCATCGGAAAATAACAAATGAATCAGCTGTTCATAAAACTAGCAACTTCTTGTTTGTTTTGCGTTTTCGTACTTTCTTGCATATTTCACTCATTGGGAGTAAATATTGGCTTAATCTCCGAAATTTGGTTACTGACAAGTTACTGGATATTTTTTGCTGGAGAATACGAAAACACAACTTTTGTTAGACAGAATTTAAAAGATGACAATTCTCCAGGTGAAAAAAATATTTTTGTTGCTAATATTGAGCAGTTACAGTAGATGCAAAATAAACTCGCTGATTAATTCGCAAAAACGAAAAATTTTGATTGAATTTTTCAACCACTAAAACCGGTTTAGCGCGCAACTTCACTATTGGCAAACAACAGTCGAAATATTTTTACGAGTATATTAAAATTGTTTACTAGAAAATAACGGCACCTTCCGTTGTTTCTCAGCTTTTTCTTTTTGTCAATTAAACAAACCTCGTCAGCAACCCTGGCTATCTCCGGAAAGGTATTGTCAGACGAAATTATGGGTACTGTTTATGAATTTGTACAACGATTTTGGGTTGCTGTGCCCAAACGCGTGAATCGAATCAAAAAACTTTTACACACACTTGTAGATAACTAAAACTTTAATGGACTAAATCTGTGCACTAATTTAACAATAATGTCGGTTGGAAATATGGTATTTGTTGCAATTTTTGTTATAAATTTGTATATACATTTTTATATACAAGATATTTTTATAAAACACCCAGTAACCAAAATAGACATCACTGGGGCGGCAGCCCCAGGTTTACCACACAGAAAGGGAATTCTAGTTAACTCATCCTTTCCCAAGGTTACATCACTGGGGCGGTAGCCCCAGTTATGTCACACAGAAAGGAGAATTCTACGTAGTAAGGGTTATAATGCCTAAGCGCGGCCGAAGGCCGCCTACGCAGAAAGGTGTTCTCTGCAAAAGGTGTTCAGCCCCCCTTCTTCGGACGCAAGTTTAACTTTGTTTTTTCCTTGCAAAAAATCTAAAATTCCCCTATTTTCAAACAGCTCCCCAGAGGTCTGTGAGAGGGGTTGGGCGGGGAGGGGTGTCTTTTCATAAAGCGGCGTCAATCCTCTTTCGTTTAGGGGCCCACACCGCTCCCCCTCCGCCCCCCACCTATAAATCGTTGTACAAATAGCTAAACATTTCCCGAAATTATGGGAAAATTAATTAACTTATTACCAAAATAATCATTTTTAAGCTTTTTCGCCAAAATATGCATTTTGTGTCATAATATGAATTTGCATATTTTGGTCTTTCCTAATAAAAACATTGACCGCATGCCCAAACAGGATTGGAACCAAAATTATCATTACGTCATAAATCAACGCATTTCGTTGTGATGGAATCATAACATTATTATGCATATCGGTTTATTTACGTTGCTACTTTAATCGAACGTGGCGGTAAAATCGATGAAACTCGATCTTTAATGTAAATCGAAACGAATTCTCTATAATCGTATTTAAAAGTTGCAGCCAAAATTTGAAACTTTTGATCGTGTGGATTAATTGTGCATTGAATTGCAATTTACGTGCAGTAAAAGTTCGCGAAAGAAATCCAGAGTTTATACTTTGCCAGAAGTTTTTAACCTTTTCATTGTTTTGTGGGTAGGAAGCATGTGTATGAATTTATCTTTCTTTCACGGAATATATATTCACGTTTAATAATATGGAGAAGTAATTCAAATTTTATCTTTTTTATGATTTCCTCATACAACATAAGTTTGCTAAGGAGAATATACTATGAGCGTGCAAGGAAGCAAAGCGATTGGGTTGGTGATAAACGAGGACAAGACGAAGTATCTCATGTCATCAAAAGAACAGTCGGTGCATTCGCGCGTTGTTGTTGTAGCGGCCAATCCCCGTTCCAGTTATAATTTGGAGAAAGTAGAGAATTTCATTTACTTGGGAACCATCAATAACTACGGTAATAATGTCGGCATGGGAAGCCAACGCAGAATCACTCTTCTCAACAAGTGCTACTTTAGAATGAGTAGGCAATTTAGAAGTAAGGTCCTCGCTCGGCGCGCGAAAATCGCACTCGCATAAGTCAGCTCTGAAAGTATTCAACTCGGAACACGCTGGTGGCAGTAGAGGAAGGCGGAGGGCCTTACTGCGTTGGAAAGACCAAGTGGAGAAGGACTTGCCTTCACTTGGCATCTCCAATTGGCATCAGTTGGCACAGAAGAGAAACGACTAGCGCGCTTTTCTGAACTCTGCCAAAATAGCTTAGGCGGTTACAGCGGTTAGGTTAGGCGGTTACAAGGAGAGTATATTCACTCTAACGTATACCAAACTTCCCAAAAATGTATTACGTCTTTTTGGCGGATAGGGCTTATTATGCATGTTTC